CTGCTATTAAGTTTGTCAGTTCTTCTTCTTGTTCAATAAATCTGTCAAGCATTATCTTTTTGTAGGGTTTGTTTAATAAACTAACTATTATTTTTTCTTGATCTGTTTTAATAATTTCACATCTTTTATCTATGTTTTCTTCTATTTGTCTTCTTTGGTTTTGTTCCTATTCCTTTTTCTTTTTCTCTTGTAACAGTTTCTGCTAATCTTTTATGTCATCTATTCAGGCATTTGACCATTGCTTATATAATTTTGGCAATCTTGCACCTTTTTTTCCTCCTATTATTCATAGTTTCTCATTTATTTTAGTTCTTTTCTCTTTTGTTATTTCTTGACTTTTTCTTGTTTTTACATGTTTAATCAATCTTTGCAGCTCTACAATGTTCTTTTCTTGGTATTGCTTCTTTTGATTGTTTCTTCTATTTGTCAGTATATTGTATATCTTTTTCTTAGGTAAATGCTTACTGGCTGCTATGATGATTGCTTTTTCTAATACATCCCATATATTGTTTATATTGTTTATCTCTTTTCTTTAAATGTTCTTTAGCACCTTCTTGACTTCTAACTGTTTCTGCAGCTCTTGTGTATACTTTTCCTAGTTCTTTTTTTTTGCTTAGTCATATAGATATACTGTTCTTAATTGTTTTTTTCTTTTGATTTTGGCTTTGCTATTTCTTGTTATTATATGTTTAATCCATATTTTTGTCTTTATTATTTTATGATCACTCTTAGTAATTCCCTTTGCTTCTTTAATTTTTGTCTTCTGTAGACCTGAGGCCAGTTTCTCTAATACCCATATGTAGTCAATTCTTGTTGCTGCTTCTCCATTTGACTGTGTAAATTCTTAACTTGTTGGATGCATATCTCTGTAACTATTGCTAAAGTTTTGCTTCTTCATCTAATTAAAAATTGGCAATCTTTTGAAGTTTGCTGCTTGTGGGTGTTGTCTGTCTAATACATTATTTACTGTGTGATTGAAATCTCCTAAAACTACTATTTGTGTTTGTCTTTTCTTTTTGGTAACTATTTCTAATATTTTTGTTGAATGCTTTTCTTTATTGCTTTGTTACTTGGTGATATATAACTTCTAGAACTACTAACTCTAATTGCTTGAAGTATAATATAAGCTCTATCATATATTCATTTATCATTTTGATTGCACCTACATGTTTCTCCCATTGTTTATTAATCATAATGCCTATTCCTGATCTCTTCTTTTTGTCTTTTGCTGCACTTAACCAAAATTCTATATATTTTCTATTTGCTGTTTGCATTAAGAATCTTCTTTTTCTTTCTGTAAGATTTGTTTCTGTGATACCTAGTATTGTAATTTCTTCTTCTTCTGCCTAGCCCAGCAGACTATTAAGTTTCTACCCTTTGGTTTTGAGTCCATTAACATTGTGACATGCTATTTTAATCTCTTTTCTTTCTTCTTTTTATCTTTCTTTTAGTTGTTCTTGTACCATTTTTGCTGTTTCTTTTCTTTTTTTTTTCTTTCTTTTTCTATTTCTTTTTTCTTTTGGATAAGAATGTGTTTTTCCTTTTTTGTTTTCGAAACTTCTTTTTTCATCTTGTAAGAACTCTCCTATCTCCTTATCTATATTCATAGATTCAACTAAGGTGCCTTTAGGAGTGATTGGCTATGTCTTCTCCTATCAAGTCATCTACTTTTTTTAGTTTTTCTAATCTTTCTAAGATTTGGTCTAGCATATCTTCTATATATATGTTCTTCTCTTGCTGTTTTATCTTATCTTTATTTTCCCTCTTCTCTTGGCTTTCTCCTTTCTCATTATCTATACTTTTATATTTTCTTTGGTTTTTAATGTTATGTCTTAGGCTGTTACTTTCTTCTTCTATTGTTTGGACTCTTGATTTTAGGCCTTTCCAATTATTCTTCCTATTTGTATATATTTTGTTTTATTGATTTCTTTCTCTACTTTTACCTTCTTCTGCATTAGAGATTTGACTTAATCTATTTCAGCTTCTTCCTCTTTTATCTTTGAAACTTTCTCTTCTTTTTGGCTCTCTTTTCTTTTCATTAATCTAGTATACTCGAAAATTGTTGTATATAATTGGTTTTGATTAAGCTGCCTTTATGTCTTACTCTGTTGTAAATATAATTAATGCTGTTCTCTTTTGGTTTCCATTTTAGTTTGGTGGAATGTATATTAACTTTGCCTCTTTACTTCTCAGGCATTATAGTAATAAGACTTCTGAGGCATTTTCAGATATTCTGTTAATTTGGCTATGTGTTTTCTTTGTCTTTCTCTTGCTTCATGGTCTTCTCTTCCTTTTGTTACTCTTACCAACTTGTTATTGTCTACTGGTAATGACTATGGAATATTTTCTTCTTTTATGCTTTGCATTTATATTACTGTTAGAGCTTTGTACTTGAATCTTTTGATACATATTATCTGTACATCTTTGATTCTTTTGCAAATATACTCTACTTCTCTTTTGTTTATATTAGCTAGTAGGTCCTATATTGTTAGATATGTTATGTTGTTAATAGGTCTTTTTTCTTCCTCATATTCATTATTGTTTGATTCTTCTATATTAGCATCTTTTTTGACCTTCTCTTTTCTAAAACCTGGTATATGTTTCCTTTTATCTTGTTGTTCTTTATTATAGTCTTTAAGTTTTCCTTTTTTTCTTTTTTTTTTTTCATTTTCTGGTATCATCTTGTACCAATTACTTTCTTTTCTGTTAATTCTTTGTATAACTTCATTTCTGCTATAATTACAATCAAAGACCACTTCTATCCACAGATTCCTCTCTTAAATACTTTATTGATATCTTTCACATGTGTATTATTCTATAGAAACCATCTAATAAACTTTATACACTTTTTTTTTGTTTTCTCAAAAATCTTATATGCTGGTATATTAGCAATTAAGCTGTTGTTTTGATTACAACTTTTTCTGCTTGATGTCTATATACTCTGTTCTAATGCTATTTCTACAATTCAATTTCTTTCTCTGTTTTTTGTTTTCTTCTTTTTTGTCTTTTTCTTTCTTCTTCTAATATGTTTTGTTTTAATTGCTTGCTATTCATTTCTATGTTTTCTTGTTCATTTATCTCTCTTTGTTTTCTAGATTCTTGTTTCTGAATAAAAGGTTCAACTGGCAGTTTGTTATTTCTTCTCATACTTATCTCTACTTATTTTTCTCTTTGTACTATATTAGCTTCTTCTTGTTTTTCTGTATTTTCAATTTCCTCTTTTATGTTTCTTTTTTTTTTTTGTTTTTCTTTTATGCTCTCTTCTTTATTTCCTTTTGTTATTACTTGCTGTTCTTTATTTTGGTTATATTGTATTTGTCTTCTTTCTGCTTCTATTATTAGGTTTCAGTTTTCTATATTTATGTTTAGTTTTTTCTCTGACTGTTCTTTTTTAGCTTTTACTAATATTTCTCTTGTTAGTTGTAAAAGGGCCATCTTATTTGAGTCTTGGTTTGTAAGCATTGCAATAATTTTGTCTTCTCTATCTGGTACTGTATATGTTCTACTCACCTTATTGAAAAAAATCTTGTTATATACACTATTCATAGCCCAGTATGCTCTTTTTATGAAAAGTGCTTGTAGACTTTCTCTGTACTTTCTATAAAGATTTTTATTCATTTTTATAACTCTATTTTCTTGAATGTTTTATCACATGTTCTAGTTGTATATTGTTTATTTGTTTCACAAGTGGCTTGTTTATTCTATTCTATTTAATATCTCACACAAGTTTGTCTGTCTAGGCTATATGTGTTGTTTGTGTAATCCAAATAGATCTACATATAGGGTCATTAGTGATCCTCCAAAATTATCACTTTTTGCTAAAATTTCTATGAAAAACTTGGTTCTTTCCTATAACTATCTTGCTAACACTTGTAGTGCTTTTGCTTCTAAGCTTGTTTGATGCTTTCTTTGTTGCTATTACTTTTCTTTAGTGTTGTTTTGAGTGTTTTTATTGCTATTTGTACAAAATGTTGATTTGTTTTTCTACCAATTTTGTGTCCAAGTGATTATTGGAAAGAGTTGTTGTCAAAACAATAATTAGTATTAAAAGTTTTATATAATTATATATATTATTGATCAAAAAATAAAAAACTAATTAATTCTATTAGTACTTACTAATATTGTAATATTTATAACATAATTATAAGTACAGTCAACCCAATTATATTTCTATGATAAATCATGTAATTACACAATTAAGATTGTATACATATATTAGGAGTCTGCAAATACTTATGCCTGGTATATTGGCATCAGACTGGGCATTAGTGCCTTATGCCATGCCTGTGCCCATAGGCACAAAAGTGCCAGGTACTATTAAAGGCATAAGCACAAAATGCTAAACACAAAGTGTCAGGTACAAGTGTTAATCAAAGTGCTAAGCACAAGTGCCAAGCAAAGTGCCAAACACAATTAAATAATAAATATCTAATTTTTGTGCTGTGTTTATGCTTATGATAATTTTTGTCTATGCTTATGCCCATGTCTGAGTTTTTGTACCCATGCCTAGTCTAAATTTTTTGTTAGGCATAGGCATAAGCCCAGATTGCAGACTTCTAACATGTATGTATCTATAAAAATTAATTTCTACATTTTATGCTTTTATTAAATTACTTTTGAATAACAATTTTTCATATTTTGTAGAATTTTAGTAGCTTGCATAAGATTATAAATGCTAAATAAATTTTATACTAAGAGACATTAAGTAATAAAATACAAAGTTTTTTTTTTATTTAATAAGTCCTGATCTTATTAACAAACTAACAAGATGTAATAGCTAACTACAAAAATTCATAATGATAAGTATTGTACTCTATTTTTAAATTTATACTATACATAATACAAATCATATTGATATTTTACAATAGTGAAAATGTTTTTGTTTTTATGATATTTAAATTTTTTTAATAAAGTAAGAATTTATATAAACACTACTATTAGTTAAAAAATTTATTTAAAGTAGTTTGTTTTATTGCATTTTTTATTTTTAAATTAATATATCAATCAAGAATATTAATATTTTTTAATAACTCTTTTGAGTCTTCCTGCTGCTGTAAAAAAGAAAAAACAATTTCTAAACCTTTGGATGTATCACTAGCACTTATAATTAAAGGTTCAATACTATCATCAACATTTTTATCACTATTAATTTGCTCTTCTGGTATTTTTTATATAATTCAATGATTTTTTGAATAATCTTATTATCATTAGGAGCTTCATAAGTTATTTTTTTATTTGAATTGTTTAAAAACTCCTTAGCTGATATCATATTAGGTAAGTTAAGAGCTGTAATATCTTGGGCAAGCTCTCTCAAGATCAGAGTATTGTTATTAACAGATAATTCAGTATCAGAAATGTTAAAAAGAATATTAGTATGATTCCAACAGTTTTGGATAGTTTCTGAGGTTATTTCATCCTAACTTTTAATAACATAATTTATTACCTGTAACATATTTATTTTTAAAACTTTTATATCTTTTTCTTCTTGAACCTAATTTAGAATCTATTTAATATGCAAACTACAGTAATGTCTTTTAAATGATATTATGATTCTCACATCTATTAGTTGGATTTTAGATATAGTATTTGAAGATAAAAAATGAAAATCAACATTTAAAAGAGTTAAATCATCTATTTTATGGCTTTTGCAATTATCAAGAAGCAACAAAACCTTTTTATTTTTATATTTTTTAGCTATTTCTTTATTAAAATCTTGAAGCCAATCTTGAAAAAGGGTTGTTAGCATCTATGCTTTTTTATTGTTATGATATGTTATTAGTAAGGTATTAAGCTTAATATTTGTAAAACATTATGGTTTTGCAAATTTTCAATAATTAGTAAATTTAATTTATGAGACTCACTAGCATTTGTACACAAAGCAATAGTAATTCTTTTTCTATCTTGTTTGTGACTAGATAACTGTTATGTAGCCAATATTTTATCAGTTTCTAATTTATAAAAAAACTCAGTCTCATTCATGTTATATATTCTTTTAAGAGAATAAGCTTTACATTTACTTTTTAATAATAGTAAAGCATTAGCAATAGCTGTTATATCAGCTGATAATGCTTCTTCATGAAGTTTTTGTTGACAAATTCCATTATGCTCTTTAAATTTATATAACCACTCAGCAAAGAATTTTAATGTTACATCTAAAATTTCTAAACCTTTAGCTAATTGCTTTGCTTTTTTAACTAAAATAGCTTCACTTAAAATAGCTTTATTTTGGTAAGTTAAAATAAATTCCTTTAGAGCAAATTCAAGCTTAGGAACTACTACAGATTTATATCATTTAGCATTAGGTTGGGTAATATTAGAGCTAATTATTTCTTTACTTTTTTATAACATTCTTGTTATCATTAATTCATTTACTCTAACTGCTTATTTTTGTTCAATCCAGTTTACATATTCTTTTTGGGTCATTTTAACATTATTATGAGCATGCAAACAAAATTCATATTTTTAGGAATCAGATAAAGTAACTTTACTTTTTGGTGGCATTTTATTTAAAGATAACAGAGAAGAAATATATATGTGCAAAATAAGAATAAGATTAAATAATTAAATATAAATTCAAGAACTTTTAAATATATGTTATTTATAAATATTAAAATCTCTTATCAAATATTATTAATTATTCAAAAATATATGTAAATCTTAGGTTACAAACTAATTCTAATAAATCAGAAGATATAATTATCCATAGTTATAAAAAGTTAAAGCATTTATTTTGCTTTCATTTTTTTTATTTCAAAATTATATGATATAAGATAAGTATTTTAGATTAAAAATTTTTTTACATTAGCATTTAGTTCAATTACAACTTTGCATTATATATAGAGTCAGAAATTAGTAAAGTAAGTATTGTGTGCAGAATTTATTGTCATTATTTATAAAGAACACAAAGAATCAGTATAAATAAAATGAACATTATTGTTTTTTTTAAAAAATGTTAAAGGTACAAACATTATTGTTATTGTATAATGCATTAAATAATTATAGATTGTCAAATAAAAATATCAGTTAATTTTAATCTAACCTGAAAAGACTAATTAAATTTTTTTAGTATATTAGTTCAAACAATCTTCTTTATTAAGTCTGTATATTCTATATGAATATACATGTCTAGCACATTTGCAGTACTTGATTCTTATTAAAGACTATTTTTAAATTGCTATATTCTGCTATAAAAAAAACCTGGGTCTCTTGCATTTCACCAATATTAAACCTATTTGAGATTCCAGGCTAGTACATAGTGAAAGTTTGTATCATTAGAAAAAAAAATTTCAACAGTATATATATTTTTTATTTATGAGTAGTCTAGTTATTTAATAAGTAGCTGCATGATGTTGTCATGCAAAACCAGAAATGGAAGGTAGATGAGTTGCAGATAAAACTGCTTTTATTTTAAGTTTTTTGTTTGTTTAACTTTTATATGTTTTATTTGCAACTTTAAATTAGATTATATATGCAGTAGATCGAATACTAACTATGTTATTTAGATGAACTTTATATGCAATTCAGATAGATTAGTATTAGTATAGTATAGATATAGAATTCTTGCATATATGTAGTTTTTTTAAAATAAATAATTTACTTTTGTTGTTATATTATTTCATGTAACTGATAAATATAATAAACATTTGTATTTAAAATAAATTATTTATATTATATTAATTCTATTATATTTTAGTTAACAAATTTCATAATTGATTTATTAAGTACCTGGGTATTTATATTCACAAGTGCAATTAATCCATTCTTAGTATCTGGGGCACTTTATATTTTAGGCCTCTGAAAATCATAAGAAGTATTATAAAAGAGGTCTTTTAGTCTATGCTATATAGTAATTTATAATTAAACATAAGTGTAAAAAGCAGAGAATCAAGCATTTAATAGCAGTAAGTAGATTAGTAAAGTGATAAATAGTTCAATTCTTAAGTGTACATTTGAAAAATACATATCTTTAAAGTATTGAACTTAGAATAGCTAAAATGAATGAATACAGTTAGATGAAATTTATCATTTTTTAGATAAAATCTGTAGTATATTTTAACTGTATATAGATTCAATTAAAATTTAATTATGGCTAAATATTTATTGCAATGAGCCTTTAATTATGCAATCTCTCTAAATGCACTCTTAAATCTTAGTTCAAATATATACTTTATCTTTATAAGCACTTTTTATTATTCTTTAAGCATCTTTTATAAAAGTTGAGTCTTTATAAAAGTTACTTAGAGAATTTTAACTGTAATACAATTTCAATTAATTTAAGAATTATTATAATTTATCTAATAGGATTAAGACTGAGCCTCTTTTTTTTGAAACAACATTTGTATAAGTTACTAAACATCATATTTAACTTTTTAAAAATATTTAAAATTATGCAGATGTCTCAGTACTAACTATTTTGGTTCTATATAATATAATGATACAGAGTAAAATCAAGAACAATTTAATAAATGCATGATGAGGTTAAAAGCTAAGATAATAAATAAAGAAATTAATATTATTCAATAAGCTAAAAAGGATAATTATCTAATTACAAACATTTTTTTTTTATCATATATTAATAGACAAAAGCTTATAAGTAAAAATTTAAAAATTATAAGATAAAGTCACAAGATTATAATAACCAATCAGATAAAAAAGAGACACATCATTTTAGATGGCTATAAACTATACTCTACATTGTATATTGTACAAATTTTGTTTCTGATATAAAAACTACATTTGGTTATTGTAGATTTTAAAATTCATACTCAGGTCTAGTGCATCAAGAGTCTTGTAAATAGCAGTTTATAATAATTAGTACACTAAATGAGTTTAAATTATAAAAAATTGATAACAGACAACCTAGATTTTTAAAAAAATCATATTTGATTTTTAAGTTCTTATTAATTATATATATTTATTTTATTTTATTTTTTTTTTAAAGAGAGGTCTATTCTCTATCTCTTTTATTTATAATCAATTATACATATATAAAATGAATACATGTAAAAAAACTATATTATGAGAGATAGGAGTAAGAGCTACTTTACTCTTAACCTATTTTTTGCTAGAATAGTCATTAAACCTCTAGTCTTCAAGAAGGTGCATTAAAAAAGTTAGTCCATTGTTTGTATATTTTACTAGTTTTCTTTCTAGAAAAGATAGGGCCAAAGGCTTAGTTTTGTTTAGTATTGGAGTCTGTATTGGGGCCAGGTTTGGAAGAATTGAATCAT